CTCAAAATATTTTGGGAATCATCGTCAAGGTAAATTTTGAGCATGATTTTTCGTTCCATACGGAGTGAGTTGGTCTATTTCCTACTCGAAGTAATTGAAGTATAATAACATAATGAATTCTAATTACATCCTTATGTTATATTATTAGTAAAAATTTAAGATAAAAAATAAATAGATTTGAATTAAAAAAATCATTTTCCGTATGAATTCTAAACATACTTAAGTGTACATTTTTTACTTTCAATATCATATTGTTGTGTGTGTTTTTGGGTAATCAAATCTATTGCCATAATTTTCCTAAACTCAATCTATTTTTAGTGATTGTAAAATCATTTTTTGTGTTACGCTTTCGTTTCAATTTCTAATTTAATATATTTTCTGCCCTGGTAAGTTTTTATTGTTTTTCATTTAAGTAGTGGCTTTTATCCTTGGTATCCCCTTTGGATTTATGAAACCAAATAATAATTTCCTAAACTTTTTTTTGTGAAATTTTCACAAGTAAATCCCTGATCATCCCTCACATTAATGTTGGTTAGTTAGAAAATGTGTGTGTCTTTATTTTAAAAGTTTTAGTTTTTATTTATGCTAATTTTTTTGTTCTTGATAAAAAAAACTAATATTTAGTAGATGTGGAAATCTCAAACAAAATTAAACTTAATCGCATTTGAAAGTGATTTGTGTTGACCTCTATTTGGTAACAGTGGGTGGGAGATATCTATTGTTTTAAATAAAATTTATTTGGGTCAAAAACCTTTTGAAGTCATGCAAGGGTTTTAATATCCGATTATATATTTATCTTGTATGTGTACTATCTATTTTTGCTATTTATGAATTTTAAAAATCTTCACTTGTTTTCGGTAGCAAAAGGATAATGCTACGTGATAAATACTTTTGGGCTAAACTTATTTCATAATGATAATCATTTAAGATAAAAAAGGGTTTTTACTCGTAATTTGTGTCTTATATTTATTGTATTTTATCACCAAACAATTAATCGATTCTGTGAAATTTTTCCATAACATTTATGGTAATATCCTTTTAAACTGTCACTCAATCCCCAGAAAGCGGTTCAGAATTAATTTATATACATTTGTCTACTTTTAATAGGAATATTAAAAATAAATTAAATGTTTTCATTATGTTTCCTTTTAATAAAAAATTTGAAAAAGGAAAAGAAATTTCAATATAAATGGCTTTAATACCAATGGTTAATTTCCGAAAATTGTCAATAATACATATGGAAAATTTCGTGTCAAGTAACCCAACTTTTAAAATGCCTTCCGATGATGAAATTTGCACCAAGGTAAGTACTATTGGATAGTAGGCCAGACACTCTTTTCAGTTCTAGCGGTCAAAAACTGCCGGAGTAAGAGTGGGTCAAAGTTGAACATTTTGGTCATAAAGGGTTTTTTTCAAATTGGTCTTAGGTCTCCGGTAGGTTAGGTGGCCTCCGGTAGGTTAGTGTGGCCTCCGGTAGGTTAGTGGTTAGTGTTCTAGTCTGGTAGACTGGAGGTGGTGGGTTCGATTCCCACCTGAGGCATTGGTTAAGGAGCGCACAACAGTCCCAATAGAGGCCTATGTGTATTTCTTCGGCTTTGATGTATATACGTCCTCATTTCAAACTAACTAACTGGTCTTAGGAAAAATTGCCCGAAGAACTTCAGATTGCTATTTCTTTATTGTTTCCAACATCAGTAATTTCCACTTTGTACATACATACATACATATCTATATTAGAGTATTAATTTTCCAGTTTTACACCCACCATCAAAAACTATAGTGCTGAAATTATACATAAACAAGTTTCATAAATACCGAGTCTCTCTACCAAATTTTAGGAAGATAATTGACCTAATCCCCCTTATAAGGTCCCTTTTAGAAAATAACGCTCATTGCTGGATTAAAACTGTCAGTATAGCAAGGAAATTCAACATAAGTAAGTAAATCCAAAATCTCTTTTCTTATTCGTATCAGGATCGGTTCACAATTGACCCTCATATGCTCATATATGTCTTTCAAATGTCGGTATAGCGATGAAATTCGACATAAACAAGTTAAATGAGAACCGAAATCACTCTACCACATTTTATGGAAATCGGTCCGTAATCTTATATAACAAATTTTATGATGATCGATATATAATTGACCCTACTCATCTTAAAAGCCCTCTTCGAGAAAATCAGTTCATATTTAATAAATAATTTCAAATTTTAGCATTAAGCTAGGTACTCTGTTCAAAATTTCACGTGAAATTTTAAAAAACTATTTACATACAAAAACAATTTAAGGAAAATTGTATGGAATAATGTCGCTGAATTAGTACTCTGTTTGTATTGTTTAAAAACATGTTAAATGTTTCTAAAAAGATTTCAGAAACATTTTTTTTCAATTGTATGAAATAATATAGATTATAGTTAGTTCACGTCAAATTTTAAATAAAAGTTTATTAACAAGACTTAAATTATTGAAGACCGTGTGCCCTCCAGTATCCATTATCTACTAGGAGATATTTCATAATTTAGATAAATTTTTCATTCATAAAAAATGTTTTAACAACAAGTTAGAGTGCTATATTCTATTTTTATATTACTGGCCTTGTATGGGACCAATCGGACCCATATTATGGACCGGTCGTGAAAATATTTGAAAATGTGCATTTAAGTGATTTTCTGAAGGGGACCTTGTATGGGAGCTGGGACCAATTATGGACCGATCGTTAAAACATTTTACAGTATTTGTATACCCTCCACCATCATCAGTGGTCATAGAGGATATATATAAGTTCGCCATTCCATGTGTAACACCAAGAAATATTCATCTTAGATCCAACAAAGTATATAAATTCAGGGTCCTTGTGAAATTCTGAGTCTATTAAGCTAGGTCCGTCTGTCTGTCGGTCTGTCTGTGTAAAATAAGCTCATGTTTAAACTAAGTAAATGGAATCAACCAAATTCACAAAAATATTTGTTATTGTCCTAAGCAGTTTTGTATTGAAAATCAGCAAAATTGGCTTAAAAAGGTTTGAGTAAGAATTTCAGACTACCTCGAAAACAATTAAGTTTTTTCCCAATTCTTAAGCAGTTTTCTCAGAAAGTACCAAAGATATTTCTATGAATTTTGTTACACACAGTTTTTTTCTGCCAAAGATCAAGTATATTCAAAATCGTAACAATTGATCCAATGTTTTTAGCTTAAAGTTAATAACTTCCTCATATACATATATCGGTAGCAACACAAGACTGTACATGTAAATATAATATGAACAGAAATCATACTACCAACGTAGATCTGTATCGGTCCACAATTTTTCATAGCTCCCATATAAGGTCCACTTCCGAATTTCATTGTCAAATAAAGCTATTTTGATAAAATTCTACACAAATATGTTTTGTCTATATATGAATCACCACTTCAGAAAATTACTTAAACGAAAATATTTCATTGAATAATAAAGCTATTGGGATAAAATTTGACTTATTGACACAAGCCGATATTTGCATATCTAATGATCTAAGTCCATATATAGTAGACCTACCTTAATACACTTTATCTTCATTCTTAAAGAAAATAAGTTATTAATAGTATTATGTTACTTTTAACTAATCGATGATCATAAGTTTAACACACTATGCTATTTTCACACACAAAACTGCAAGAAAAATCATATGGAGGAGAATCATATGGAGGAAATACATATATTATAAGAAGGAATCCTCCCAAAAATTTTATTATTTAGAGTATTGTTATTTATATACACTCAATAAAAATTAATTCCAATTTGAGATTAATCCAGAATTGTAATAATTTATACATACATAAACATTTACCACGCGAACCATTAATACTGAGTAATAATTCACTAGTTTTCATTTTTAATTCACACAAATGAAAAAAAAATTTGAATCAAGAGATTCCTGTTGCGATTAAACATTTATTTAAGTATTCCATGGTACATAATTAATTAATAGATATAAAAGAATATTGATTTTATTGTTAATGATTTCACATTAAATGGATGTTTTAATTAATCCCATTAATTTTAGGTTTTTTTATGCGAAATGATAAACATATATTTACTTTTTCTTTTTTTTTTAAACATTTGATTTCATCATTTTATAAACTCTGCACATTGACCATTAATGTAAATTGTTTTATATTTATTAAAAATATGGAAAAAATATTTTTAAACAATTAGTTAAGGAGTTGGATTTGTTTTAATTAATTACATTAAAATTCATTTAAAATGAAAAATAAATTTTCAATCATTATACACTTAATCCACATGTTTTATTATTTTCACAATTCTCTGTTTGGAATCTGCTATGCAATGATATGTATTTTAATTCTATAATAATTAATTTTGCTTTTTTTATTAATTATATATTGGCACATTTTATAATAATTGGAATATTTTTACATTTATAATTTTACTGGCCGGGCTTTTTATTGTAATAAATTGACTTCATAATTATTTTTTTATTCTCATAGACGACAATACACACATTATATTTGGCATAATATTTAAACAGGAGGATTTTTTATTATTAATTTCCTCATTTTTTTTTTTTTTTTTAATTTGTGGACATTTAGTTTTTTATGAAAAATCATAATTGCAAAAATTCACAAGCACACTCACAAAATTAAATAGCCAATTATTAAACATTCCTATGTTGTGCATATTTCTAAAGCAAACACAGTAAATTATTGTAATCTGAATGAAGTATGATATGAATTTTGTATTTTATTAATTAAATATATCTTATTAATTTTCTCCTTTGTACTTGTAAATTCTGTAGTAATAAATGGAGGAGGAGATTAAGCCAACAACCGGAAGCGGATGTAATAAATGCAACAGTAGAAACACAAAATAAACAACATCTATTTAATAATCCACTTGACCTTATTTAATTTACTTTTATTATTTTTTTGTTTAATTTTCATATTTAATTTATTTATTATGTTGACGCTTTAAATTGGCGGCAATACACAGCAACACTCACATTTATATACGTACATACATCCATATGAATGTGTGTAGTCTGCAATACACTTATTCTATCACTGGTATGAGAAGCAGGTGCTAGAACACACTAAATTGAAATAATTTATTTAAAGGACATGGCCAACACCAAATGTGCAGTGTTTAAAATGTGGGTTTATTTCATTTCACTTTTTTCGTTTTTGTTTGATTTAGATTTTTTATCCAATTGTATGTTAAACTGACACAGTAACGATACGTTGACGATAATTACGACATTAAAGACGACGAATTGTTTGTTATTATAAATTTTCGTTTAGCTTTCATGTGTTGAAACGAGCGCACAGTAATAAATCGCTGGTAGGAAACGGACATTACTTACTACTGCACCGACTAGCGTTGAACTGACAAACGTTACAATTTTAATAAGGACACGCACGCACATTATTTGCTTATCCTTACGGCAAGGATGCTAGTAGTAGTTGCAAAGTACAAAATACATATATAAGAGCAAATGTTTAACATTCGAATTTTAAGAGCATAAACATAAAGAAAAAGCTTTTCTATGCCTACACACTCTCTCAGCAGTTATAGAGTCGAACTCCTTGCTCTGGTAGTGTGTGAGCAGTATAGCTAGCTGTATGTCCTGATTATGTTGTAGCTCAACAGTAGAAATAAAATTATGTTTTAGAAGTTTTGTTGGAATTTTGGCTGCCAAAATAAAATGTTATTTTACATTTGCCATCATTTTACCATAAATGCACCCAAGTGTGTCCTTTTGGCCAAATAAATGTTTATATTTTTTCATTCTGTTTGTAGTCTGTTTATTTTTTTTTTTTTGTGCAAATTCATTTTATTTAATTTTATTATTTCTGTTTTTTGGGTTCTCTCTTTCTCAGCGAGCATAAAGCTTATCCTGGGAGTATTATAAAATTTGAATATTTCATTCATTTACTAGACCACATTATTATTTTCATAACATCTTTAAAGTTGTTAAGTATTTGTTAAATTGTTAATGTTTGCCGCATTATTTCAACAAAATTACTTGAATAGAAATATACAATTATAATTTGACTTCTTACATACCCCCTGAATGAACAAATTCCAATATAAAGTACAAGAATATACATATAAAAATAGCTTCACACTCCATTCTAAGAATATGTTCAACCAATTTACATTTTAACGTAATGTAATTAGAACCGATAACGTAAACCTGGAAAATATGTGTCAAATATACAACAGAAACTGTTACAAGAACAACATCTACACAAAGAAATTCACAGATATTATATATATACATGTATACAAAAATAGGTGTGCTTTTTTTAAGATACATACTTATGTCGTAAAAATTTACTTTAATAAGGACAACATCGGATTATTTGAATATTCGATTAATCGACAAAAATTATTCGAATTATTCTCTATTCTAAATTGAAGATTTTTTATTCGTTATCGAATAATTTTTAGTATGTTTGATAACAAATTGAAGACCAACGTAAGACAATTTTACTGTTAAATAGAAAGTAATCGGTTAATTGAGATAAATTATTCGGTTTATTCGTTATTTGAAATTTGGAAATTTTCATTTATTCGAGTAATTAATCGTCAAAAAAGAAATCGAATAACCGATCAACGATTAATCTCTTGAATAACGTCATAGTTGTACAATAATTGTACAAATAGTCATGCTACTATTATAAAAAGAACTTCGCACCTATATTTACGTTCACATGTATATATTTGTAAGTAAATGTGGCAAGATTATTACTAAATACATATACAACAAGATGTCTTGTTAAATGTATATTCATTCATAGATTGTATATTTTACGTTTTTGTGTGTAGATTATGAATAATTATTCATTAATTTAAAAGTAGATGTGTTTTTGTGAGTTTGTATAGTTTAAAATTGTCTAGTCTAGTTTACCTTAATTATGTTGGAATTAGTCACGAATCCTTAAGCTTAGACAAGTTACATACATACATATCGGGTATAATTTGAATAATTGCATCCGAAAGTTTCCTTTTTTCAAGATGTAATTTATATACAAATATGTACATTTAGTCAAATACATTTTGAGAAAAAAATTCTTAAAACGGATACAGAATATTTTGTATAGAAAATGTTATACCTTGCAACTTTAATTATAAGAAAATATTATTAAAATTTTAATACTGAACTAAACATATTGTGTACATTAGACGCGTTCAAAAAATATGAATTTTGATTGGATGGTTCTCCCCAGATAGCATTTGGAAGATTGTTCGATGATTAATCAGTAAACTGACTCATTTTTGACTCCTTTTGATGACCAAAACGTGATTAATAAGTTAAGCGCTTAAAAAATGATTCGAAAATGATCCCGATATATGATTGAAAACTGAAAAAAATCGGTTCACATCGGGAAAAGTTATGAATCAAAATTTAAACAAGTTAGAGTGCTATATTCGGCTGAGCCGAATCTTAAATACCCTCCACCAGCAACTTTTGTATTAATACATTTCTAATTAATAAAATATTTGTAGAAATAAGTTTTCTCATGTCATAAATAGAAAAATCCCAAGATTTAAACAGCTTAAATCTACTACAATTCCAAGATTTATTGAACATTAGACACGCCACTTTCTTTTAAATTTTTATAGCGCCCTAAGATATGCTTTAGCGATATCTAGTATTTGCTTGTGTCTGAAAGATTTAAGGATTTTCAAAATACATATAATTTTGTTCTACACAAATTGATAATGCAAATAGTTAAATACGGTTAAAGCGCTTTTAGGGGCAGGACCTAGTATGATAAATACGACCAAATATAGACCGATCGTGAAAAATTTTTGAAATAACATTAAGTGCTTTTTGCATTACAAAATAATATTTATGAACAAAAATAGTATTTATTTATATCATTATTTGGTAATGAGTTATGTGCCTTTAAGTGTTTTTCTGAAAGGGACCTTGTATGGGAGCTATGATCAATTATGGATATAGGAAAACAATTTCACAGTAATATTTCTCTGTTTATGAGCAATATTTCTGCCAAACTTTATATGGAAATCTTAATTTAGTAATGAGTTATGTGCGTTTAAGTGATTTTCGGGAGGGGACCTTGTATGGGAGCTATGACCATTTATGGACCGATCGGAAAAAAAATTTCAGTAATATTTCTGTGCATATGAGTAATACTTGTACCAAATTTTATATGGATATCTTAATTTAGTTATGAGTTATGCGCGTTTAAGTGATTTTCGGGAGGGGACCTTGTATGGGAGCTATGACCAATTATGGACCGATCCATAAAATTTTTCCTCTGAAAGAATTCTATTGACATAAGATTTTAATTTGTGAAACTTTGTGAAGATATCGACAGTGTGGCGGAAGTTATTAACAAAAAAACCATTTTCCGGGAATATGTACTTTTGTATGGGAGGTATATGAAATTGTTTACCGATTCCGGCAATTTTCAGCAGGGATCAAGATCATCTGCAGAAACGAATGTATGGTGATTTCCATGGCATTATCTTGCATAGTTTTCGAGAAAATTACATCAGAATGTGTAAAAAATGCTTATTTTTTTCCGAGGTTGTTTTAAATTTTGATTCATAACTTTTCCCGCTGTGAACCGATTTTGCCCATTTGCAATGCCAAACAACTTAGGAAAATGAAGAACATTTTGGGTGAATTTGGTTAAACTCTATTGCTTCGTTTTATCGTGAGCGTGTTTTACACAGACAGACGGACATAGCTAAATCGACTCAGAATTTGATAAGGACCCAGAATATATATACTTTGTTGGGTCTCAGATGAATATTTCTTGGTGTTACACACGGAATGACAAAGTTATATATACCCTCTATCACCACTGATGGTGGTGGAGGGTATAAAAAACTCCGAAGAAATTAAGCTTTTTTTACATATTCTAATGATTTTTTTTTCACAAAAACTGTGCAATATAAATCCATGAAAATCATCACACATTTGTTTCTATACAAGAGCTTTATTCCTGTTGAAAATTGGCGGAATTGGTCCACAATTTCATATACTTCCCATAGAAATGTACATATTCCCGGAAAATGAGTTTATTTTGATATCTTCACAAAATTTTACAAGCTAAAGATTTATGTCAGTAGAAATCATCCAGAGGAAAAAATTTCTGGATCGGTCCATAATTGGTCATAGCTCCCATACAAGGTCTCCTACAGAAAATCATAACTCATTATCAAATGATGATATTCATCCAAAATTTGGTACACACTATCTTTGTATACAGAAATGTTGCTTTACAATTTTTTTCACGATGGGCTTATATTTGGTCATAGCTCCCATACAAGGTCGCTTCACGAAAATCACTTAAACGCACATAACGCATTTCTAAATTAAGATATCCATACACAATTTGGTAAAAATATTGCTTTTATATACAGAAATATTACTGTAAATTTTCCGATCGGTCCGCAATTGGTTATAGCACCCATACAAGGTCCCCTTCCGAATTAAGATGTTCATAAAAAAATTGACACAAATATTGCTTTTATATGTATACAGAAATGTTACTGTTTTCCGATCGGTCCACATAGCTCCCATACAAGGTCCACTTCAGAAAAACACATAAATACATATAATTCATTACCAAACACTGATATCCATACAAAATTTGACACAAATATTATTTTTATACAATGTAATTTTATCCATATAAAATTTGGCATAAATAACACTATGCGACAAAAATAAATACCTGGGAAGTGATACTATTTTTCTGAAAGGTGGGTCCGAGTAGAACAAGAATATGTTTTTGAAATTTGCCAAACACCTCCAAAATCTTGAGTTACGGGTAAAAAACTGTTTTTTCGTACCTTTAGTCACTTATAAGTCAGTAACTTAGTTAAATCTGAACCGATTTTAAGTTTCTTCACGGATTTAGAAAGCAGAAGCTGAGGCCTTTATAATAACATATATAAGTTAAAGTAACCTGGGGAGATATGTGTGAATTTCATCAGCAAACATATTTTTTATTTTAGTTTTGCACCGTTGTCCAAGTTTGGAGATGTTTTTTGAAAGTATTTTATATAGGATCCGCACTGTTTATTAATTGATTAGAAACCCATGTCTATTCATGAGAAAAACGCAACTTTGTTTTTAAAAATCCGTTATCTTTCTGATCTTTTGATCTTTTTCTTAATAAAAATTTTTTCATAAACTGATTTTCTGAAGGATGCTCGAAAAATTTGGTGTAAGGATTTATGTTTATATAAAAGTTATTTATTCTGAATTTCATCGTGATATTAATATTAAGAGGAGAATTATGGAATTCAAGTCATTTTGAAGGAGGGTATCGGGACTAGGGTCAAATAATACCGTATTGTCTAAAAAATCAGCAGTAT